GTGGGGCGTGTGTTGTGCAGTACAGCGGCCACCGCTCCTCAGCCAACACGGCGACGCTGCTTGACCCTGGTGCACAGGCCGCACACTTTGTTGGCCTCTCCGGCGGCGGCGATGGCGCCGTGCACCGCTGGCTCGTCGACCGGGAATTGGCAAAGTGGGACAGTGATGGTGGTGGTGGTGATGATGATGATGATGATGATGATGATGATGATGATTCGTTATTCGTGATGGTTGCTGTATCATTGTGTGTTTGCTGTGCCAGTGCTCTGTCAGCGCCACCCCGGTCGCTTCTCGCTGCTCACCACCGCCATTCCCACAACAACACACATGACATCACACACACATGACATCACACACACACATCGCATCACATCACATCACACGCACACACACGAATGACAATTGCCACAGCCCGCGTTCGATTGGAATGACCGTTGGGGTTGGCGATGGACAGGACACAAGCCAAGGTGCGGTGCATGCAACACAGCAGTGCTACGTGCACACACGCGTGTCGGTTTGTATGAATGTCAGCTGCGTTTGCAACTTTGCTCGCTGATATCGTCCCCATGTGCTGGCGTCGGCTTTGCCTTCTTTCCTCCTCGTTTGGGCTTTTGTTTTCCTTGCAGGCGTGGTGTTGAAGCAGCCCGACAGCACATTCGTCGGTCACACAGCGCCCATCTCCTCCCTCGCACTCTGCCAGGACAACCAGGTGTGCGTGTGTGTGTGCATGTGTGTGAGTGTGAGTGAGTGTATGTGTGTGCACGTCGCAGCTTACGTAATCCTCATGTACCACCTCAACCATCTCCTCCTCCACGCCTCGCCCTCACCCGAACACCCATACCCTCGCTTGCGCTGCTTGCGTCAGTGCGTGACGGCATCGCATGATGCAACGGGCCGCCTGTGGGACATTCCCCGCGGCGTGTCCATCCTCAAACTGCCCGGACACGAGCAGGAACTCACAGGTGCGCTCGCGCGTGTGTGTGTGTACGTATGTACGTATGTGCGTATGTACGTTATTGTGTGTGTAACTGTGTGTGTGTGCGTATGTACGTATGTGCGTGATTGTGTGTGTGTATGTATGTGCGTGATTGTATGTGTGAGTGTGTGTGTTTGGTGGAGGTGCATGCTTGCTTGTGTCATGACCGGCTCCACTTGCTTGGGTTCCTCCCCGACAACCCTCCCTCTTATAGCGTGTCCGCGTGGTGCGTGCTCACATGTGCAATGATGACATCTTCTCCACACAAGACGTGTGCTGCCATCCGCACCGCAAGTTCGCCATCACCAGCTCCCGCGACGCCACATTCCGCATGTGGGACTTTCGACAGGTGCGTACACACGTGTCGAGACGTGCATGTGACGTGTGACTGCTGATGCTGGCGTATTGCATTCCGCTAATGCCCACTGCTTCATCGTTTGCACAACGCCCCTGTTTTCCCTTGCCCCAAATTCATATTCATTTCACTTCCTGCCACGGTGTTGACGCTTCCCCTCACAACATCCACGCCAATCGCACCTGCCACCCGTCACCGACACGTTGCAATCCCTTGCCCCTCTCTGTGCACATCAGTCGTCGATTCGGGAGGTGAGCGTGTGCCAGGGGCACGCCGATGCAGTCAACTCCACCGCCATCGTCAGCGATCACATTGTCGCATCGACCAGCGAAGACAGCACACTCAAGGTTAGCCGCAGGGTGGTGATGGCGGCGGATGGTGGTGGTGCGGTACGGGATGTGCGCTGGCTCGGTTTGGTTCTCTCACCTTGATTGCTGCGACGCCTCGTGTGTGCATACAATGCAGATGTGGGATTTGCGCAAGATGCGCTCCCCTCTTCGCGTTATTCGCCTCAATTCCCCAGCAAACAAGTGTGCATGCATGCGTGTGTGTGTGTGTGTGTGTGTGTGTGTGTGTGTGTGTGTGTGTGTGCGTGTGCGTGTGCATGTGCGTGCGTGTGTGTGTGTGCGTGTGTGTGTGTGCGTGTGTGTGTGTGTGTGTGTGTGTGTGTGTGTTTTTTTTGTGGTCATAATGCGTGTGCTCCTGGTTGGCATGCACTCTGCCCTTTCGGACTGCACCAAAAGAAGACTACAAACATCATCTCACTACGGCCACCGCCACCGCCGCCACCACCACCGCCACGGCTGCTGCTGTCAGGATGGCTGTATCGCCAACGAAGCACCACCTTGCGGTGCCCACGGACGGCGGGTCCGTCAAGCTCTATGACGTCAACACGGGCGCTCGCGTCGGCCGCATGCCAAAACGCCGCACTGGGGTGGGCTGCTGATGGTGCTGATGGTGCTGATGGTGCTGCTGGTGGTGGTGTGCTTGTACACATGCATGTCTGTGTATGCCTACGTGTCTGAGCGTATCCATCTCTGACACACGCACACACACACACACATCCATGTATGCTTGTATGCTTGTATGCTTGTATGCTTGTATGCTTGTTTGCTGCTTTGCCACGTGTCGCACCATCCCCTTGCTGACAAATCATCAACGACTGGTCCATTCATTCGCTGGTCCAGGGCCACCGCCGCGCTGCGTGCTGCGTCTCGTGGCTCTCCGATGACCGCCTCATCTCCGCCAGCTTCGACCACACGGTCAGGACAACTGTTGTGGTCGTGGCGAGAGCTAGCAGCCATTGAGTGTTGGTCGTCACTGTTTGAGTGTCTTGACGTGTGATGGAGGTGGTGCTGGTGGTGATGAGGGAACAGAGGAAGCACTCCACGCACACACACGCACACTCACTCGCACACACACACACACACCACACACACACACACTCACACTCACTCGCACACACACTCACACTCACTCACACTCACACACACACACACACACGCGCGCGCGCACGCACACTCACACACACTCTCACACACACACGCACACACACTCTCTCTCTCTCTCACACACACACACACTCGCACATGCTACACGATAACCGTCTTCAGCTGATGGTGTGGCAGCTGCGTGCATATGAGCGGCACGACAAGTTGCCGCGTCTCGGGCACCGCAGGCAGAGGGAGGCAGCAGCGACGACGACGACAACCTCAACCTCACCTGCACCCGCAACGACAGCAGCAGCAACAACAACAGCGGCGATGGCGGTGGGCAGTGGCAGCAACGGCAACGGGCACAGCAGTGGCAACGCCAGCAGTCACAACAACGGTGTGAGCAGTAATGCTGCCAACAGCAACAACAACAGCACCAACGGCAACGCTGCAAGCCACGGCAGTGGCGGACCACCGGACCATGCGTCCGCCGCAACCACCACGGTGTAGTGTCATGACTGTGCATGACTGTGGTGTGGTCGAGGTCAAGCTCTTACACGCACATGAGACAGAGAGATAGAGAGACGGAGGTGTTTATCTTCTGCTTTGTTTTGCCATGTTGCACTCTGCTTGCTTACTGCTTGTGTCATTGCTGTGTTTTGAGCCCACATGCATCATCATTTTTCGACGAATGTGTTACACTGTTTGCTGTACACAGTGTGCTTCTGCTTGTGTGTGTGTGTGTGTGTGCGTTTGTTCACAACGTGTACATGTTCTTCTTTGTCGTTACATTAGACGTGTTGATCCCTTTACAATTGTGTGGGGACTGTTCAGAGTGAAATCGAGAAAACAAAAGAGAGAAGGGGCTGATGGTCACATCGATGTATCGTGCAAACATACATTCGAGGCAAGCGCTTTTCACGTCACCAGGCGTGGAACGTCACCAGGAAAAATAATCGAGCCATTGATTGAAGACTGTAGCAGTACAGGGGTACTACATGCAGGGGCAATTGACATGACATGACGGAGAACACCAGGCAAAACACATGAAAAAGAAAGCAGTTGAAACGCAACCCAACGAGCGAAGAGAACAATACAAGAGGAAAAGATGTCCGCCCACAAAGCAGCAAGAAGGTACAACATGTGTCAGCCATGTTCTTTGCATCAGTTGGTGACTGGTACAACATGAACCTCTTGGTCGTAGTGATAGGTGCTCGTGACGGTCGTCTCTCGTTGAACCTCAATGCCTGAAGCAGTCCTCAGATACATCGTGGCTGGAGCCGTCTTCGTGCAGCGCCTTGTGTCGATCCGGATCTGCACGCACTTCCCGGGCGGTATTGTGACATGCTCGTTGATTTGCACCTTGACCGCGCTGGTGCGCACTTCGCCCTTGATGGTGCTGCTCTTCCAGCTGCCAGAGAATTGGACGCTGACCTTGGTCTTGCCCACCAGGGGAAGTCCAACTTCGAACTCGCTGCCAACCTTGAGTCCGAAACATCTTTCAAAGGAGAGCTGGGCGGAATCTTGCAGGCTTTCCTCGAGGGCCACGGAAATGGACGTCTGCACGGGCTGGTCGGTGTCGTTCCTATGCTCGTCGGAAAGGCTTGTGATCGTATTGATAGACTCGAGCGCCTGTGCTTGGTGAATTTCAATCCTGTCCACAAACAGCGTTTCAGCGGGAATGGCGAGGAAAGCCAAACTGGGTCGGTATCCACTGTAGTACACCAGTCTCGTGTTGTCGCCTGGGTTGGGGCTTCCGCCGTGGGGGTGGACGTAGTAGTCCGAGTCGGTATGACGCAGATAAGTGCGGCCGTCTTCCTGCACCATCTCAATCATGGTTTCGGGACGGCCCGGGCTGCTGTGCACAACCAATGTTGCTTCCTTGCCGACTTTTCCGCCCTTTGGATGGACGAACTTGCCACTCGAGTAGTGTTTGAGCTGATGCTTGTTCTCGGCATCGTTGACGAAGACCCAGCGCAGAGCGTCCCGCTTCTCGTCGAAGCCATGATGCAAGACCAGGGCGGTGTCATTTCCCGGCATATCAGACCCACCATGCGGGTGGACATACTTGCCCGATTGGACATGCTGGAGAAAGTACTGCACCCCGGGCACGGGAAGTGGTGAATCAGTTGCTGGCTCAAACGTGCTGCTCATGTTGCTCGGCTGAAAATATGGGGCTGGGGTTGGATTGGGGTTGTAGAAGACTTGAAGGTGAGACGGTGTCGGTTTGTGGCTTGGAGAAAATGGTGACAGTTGTGGTGAGCTGAGCACTGCAGCTGCTGTGCTCAGCTCAAAATGTCACACCTCATCATCGTCACAGCTTGTGTTTGCTTCACTTCTTGCTCCCATGGCGACAGGTGGAGAGGACTAGGAACGCCCCCTTTAAATCTGACGGTCAATACATTCGGGGTTGTGCACGTGCATGCAGCACATCACGAGCAAGACTCTTTGTCTTCTTGTCTTGACGATGACGTGAAAGATAAAAGTCAGACAACACTAATTCCTTTGTGACGGTACATGAATACATTCGGGGTTGTGCACGTGCATGCACTTGTGGTGGAGAGGAACGCCAAACACGTTCGGACCGCTGTCTCTGCTGCAATGATGAAAGTCCTTTACTGACGTGGGGTTGTTTAGAGATTTAGAGAGGCAAGGGGAGGAAAAAGGAGGAGAACACACACACACACACAGAGCTAAGGCGTGAGGTTGAGTTGAATGTCGACATCAAAGAGGGTGCGGTGGGCGGCGTTGAGGCGGCGGCTGAAATCAATCGCGTCCGAGGACGAGAAGAACTCGCACGTGACTGTCTCGCGCTCTGACACGCGCAAGGCGGTGGTGGAGAAGGACGTGGTGATTTGGGGGAGGGGAGGGACAAGGTGAGCGAGGTGCTTCCGAACGTGTGTTTGTGAGGAATCGTGTATGTGTGCGTGCGTGCGTTCGTTCGTGTTGTGTGTGTGTGTGTGTTATGTTGTGCGTGCGTGTGTGTGACATTGAGACAAGAGCAACCCAAGGACATACTCTTTGTTTCGTCGTCTTCGTCTTGCTGGATGAGCGTGAACCGAAGCATGGATGTTCTGTCCACAGACACTTGCGTTATCTCCAAATCCAAGGGATGTAGCACATCCACCTGTACGCGAGAGTCGTCTTGCGTGAGTGGCGTTGTTCATAAGGGCTATTCAAGCGACAAAACTCCACCCCAATGAAATGTGAACAAGCACGTACGCACACACACGCACACACAAACCACAAACAAACAAACAAACAAACAAACAAACAAACATTCGTACCCGCGTTGTGTCTGCGGCGATCTGACGCAAGAAGTCGATCTTTGTTTCATCATGTGCAGTGTGGATGACGGCGAGGAGGACCTGCCGCCTTACATCCCGCATGTCGTTGCCTTTTCCGAGCGATTTCAGCACATACATCCGCCACGGCAGTGACGGCTCATTCTGGAAACCATCGCGGTGTGGTGTAATTTGAATCGTGGTGGTGCGTGAGACACAACACTATTGACCCACTTTCCAGAAGAACGAGGTGCAATCAGCAAAGAACGCACAATCACGATCACCAACACAATGCAACAAATCACCACTCAGCGATAAGTCCTCCTCCTCCTCCTCCTCCTCCTCCTCCTCCTCCTCCTCCTCCTCATCATCATCATCATCATCATCATCAACATCAACATCATCATCATCATCATCATCATCATCATCATCATCATCATCATCATCATCATCATCATCAGTACCTCGATGAGCTGCTGCAGGTGCGGGACGCGCGTGACCATGCCGGCCAGCGCCCGCGTGTCGATGTTGAGTTTTGCAGCGATGGGATCGACAAGATCAGGATGGAGCACCTGTACTCAACGCGAGCGGTTTTCGAACTTATGTGGTGAGATGTTGACCATCATGGCGAATGAATAGACTCAGACACAACACCAAGCAAGCAGCATGGAGCGAGCAGCAGCCAACAACAATAACAACAACTTAAACAACAACAACAACAACAACAACAACAACAACAACAACTTAAACAACAACAACAACAACTTAAACAACAACAACAACAACAACTTAAACAACAACAACAACAACTTAAACAACAACTTAAACAACAACAACAACAACAACAACAACTGAAACAACAACAACAACAACAACAACAACAAAAACTTAAACAACAACAACAACAACTTAAACAACAACAACAGAGGCAACGAAAATATAGAGGACGGCACCTCGGCGGAGATGGACTGTGTGCGACGCGTGTTGACGACCACGCTGATGCAGGAGCAATCACACACGCGAACGTGAGATAAGATGTGAGCGGTGGTCAAGGGGATCAAGTGGCAGAGAGGAAAACAGTCACGTCAGACGACAGCACAGGCAGTTGCCACATAGAAGCAAGCAAACAAACAAACAAGCAAACGGAAGCAAAGCGCACCGGAGCGCGCGGCGCGCCGTATCAGCGGAGTGGAACATGACGTGGAGGTGGTGCTGGTCGGTGGTGGTGAAGGACATGGTCTGGTGCAGGTAGCCAAGACTCACGCGCCTGCAGCCAACGAGCGTGTGGGCACACGCGTAACGGCAGAGGTGGAAGATCGCAAGAGTATGAGGGCATGGTACAATCACACGCACACGCGCGTACGCATACACACGCACGCACGTACGCACGCATACACACGCACACGCACACACGTTGCCTCCTCGTACCGGATGTGTGAGTAGCTGTGTGCGGCAACAAAGAGAGGGGGTGGCTCATCCGTTCTGTCATCGACCGGTGATGTGCGAACATCAGCATCACGCGTCTCAACAACAGAAACGTGCCCCTGGGTGAGGATGAACACGCCAGGCAACACCCTGTCTGTGACATGCGGGTCGCTTGCCTCCGTGTCCACCTCACGGCCCGATGCTGCAGAGGACCAAACACAACGGACACAATGTCAACTGCGGTTCGAGTGGAACATCGTATTGGGGCAGATGTGATGCGAATGTAACACATGCACTCAAGCACGTGCTGAGACACAAGTACGCCCACACACACACACACACACACACACACACACACACACACACACACACACACACACACACACACACACAAGTACGCCCACACACACACACACACACACACACACACACGTACACACGCACGCACACACACATACACACACACACACATATATATATATATATATATATATATATATATATATATATATATATATATATATATATATCTTTGTATATACACAAGCACGAGCACCGTGTTTTCACCTGCTCGCGCGATGAAGCGACAGGGGACGATGAACCGTGTCCGCTGGTTCTCTTCTTCGTAATACGTGGCAGACAGCAGCGCCTGTGCACACGACATCACACCAACATGGTCACACGTGTCACACACACACACACACACACACACACGCACGCACGCACACACACACACGCACACACACATACACACATGCCACCCCTCCCCCTCCAATAGCCGCATGTATGCGCCATGAGCTGACCTCTGTCTCTGATACGACCATCGGTGAGACGGTGTCCTCCCCAATGGTTCGCACGTGCCGTTCATACTCATTGACACTCAAGTGCGTTTTGCTTGCATCAATCCCACCGGACAACGCCCCCTCGGACGTGTGCGTGTCATCAACACCAGACGCGACCCCTGTTGCTGCCGCTAGTGTTCGTGCTGATGTGCGTCCGTCTTTGCTTGGCGACTGCGACGACCTGCGGCATGCAATGAGGGGCAGGGCGTGAGCGGTTGTGTGAAGCGGGGGATGTGCACGTGTGTGCATGTGTGTGTGTGTGTGTGTTTGCGCGCGCATTTGTGTGCGCGTATGCGTGTATGCGTGCATGCGTGCGTACATATGCATATGAGCATTTGGCCTTAACGCACTTCATCGGCGTGGATGGTGCTGGGGGTTTTCCGCGATTGTCCGCGTTTCGTATTGCGACACGATTGAGGCTGAGGGAGAAGGAAGGAGGGAGTGACAGGGACAGTCACGTGGGATGAAACGTGAGTGAACACAAATGGCTCACTTCGTCAGCACACACACACACACACACACACACACACACACACACACACACACACACACACACACACACACACGCACGCACCGAGAGAGAGACAGAGAGAGACGAACGCTCACGCGCGCACACACATGCACACAGACGCACACATACACAGACGCACACATGCACACACAGGCGCACGCCCGACTCACGATGTGAAGAGCTGTTCGAACATGTCGACGTCGTCATCACTTGTACGGTCAACACCAAACTTGAGCACCCGCGGCTGTCCGTCTGCAAGAACGAAACGCAGCACAATCTGCAGCTCATCCGCCTGATGACGATGATGGTGATGATGATGATGCCAATCATGAGGTTGAACCAGTGGGTCGATGATGAAGGGAGAAGGGGGGCTGGGACACGCCCGCACAAGCCCTGCACTCATTGTCGTGACACATCGCACACTGCCTGTCTCACGCCATCAACGAGCAACACAAGCACCAGAAGCAGCGCAAGTGCAAGTGTTGCATGCCCACCTCATCGTCTTCCTGCCGATCAACAGCAGTGAGATCGAGAAGGGAAAGCGTGTGCGTGCTGCCGTTCTCACGTCGGCTCACAAGATGCTCCCGTGTCACCTGTGATGCAGTCCAGAGGTTGGGTAGTTGCGTGATGTGCGATGACAAACCAAAGACAATACACGCGCGTGGAATGTGTTGGGTGAATGAGGGACACGAACAGAAGGCCAGACAGCCAGATAGAGACGGGCAGCCATTCAGAAGGGTGCAGATGCGCACAGGGTGCACGTGCGAGAATCAGCAGCGCAACAGGGCAATGCACAGCGCACAACGCAGCACTTCCGCTGGCGACACGCCATCACCAGCGTGAGCAGGGAGAGCACGCATGTTCTCACCTCCACATCAACGGGCTCACGTCGTCCAGAGGTGAGAATAAGATTGACGAGATAAAACCCACCCAGCACATCGTGGTCATCATCATCGCCATCGCCATCACCGGTCGGACATGTGTTGTGCACGCACCGCCGAGTGAAGCTGTGGTGGTGGCCGGGTACCGAGAACAACTGCGCATTCTGTTCAACGAGGTCAAGCAGGTCTGTCGCGTTGCTGTCAATCACATCGCTGTCATCAACAGCAGCTGTGGTGGGCACGTGAGTATCACTGGCGCTTGAGTCACCGCGCTGCGGCGACTTGGGGTTCTTGTTGGGGCTTTCTACTGCACTCGCTGCTGTTGATGCCGCTGTGGATGCTGCTGTGGATGTTTCCGTTGCTGCTGCTGTTGTTGTTGCTGCTGTTGCCACAGCTGATGGTCGCTTCCCTGGGCTTGGACCGCGTGATGAAGTGTGCTGCTGCTGCTGCTGCCTGCGGCCTGGGCTGAAGAGCAATGTCTGCCCAGGGAACACAAAGTCGTCATCGCGCTCATCTCCAAACCCACCACCACCACCACCATCACCATCATTAATGTCAGCATCGGCACCACCACCACCACCAACGTCGCCATCAACGTCAACACCAGCATCAGCAACCCGCCTGATGCCAAGATCAGCGTGACTGCCATCACCACTGTCCATCGTCGCAAACAGTTTCTTCTTCACACGCGCCCCACGAGCGCGTGGAATGTCTTGATCGCCATCACCACCATCACTGCGGTGCTGTTGTGGCTGATGATGATACACGTGTTGTTGGTGTTGCTGGTGTTGCTGTGGTTGTTGCTCGCTGTGCGTGAGTTCATGGGCTCTCGAATGCACTGCTGGTGCAGGCACAGCTGCGCCTTCGTCATGACTTTGATGTCTCGCCTTTGGAGGTGACAGCAGTACAGTGGAGCGACCGTGCAGGTCGTGTGCAGGCAAAGCGGTGGCGGCGGTGGTGGTGATGGCGGTGGGGGAGTGGTGAGCAGCATGCGTAGTGGCCGTTGCAGGGGATGAGAAGCCATCCTGTCGAGTGTGTGCGCTGTTGTCGTCGTCCATGCTTGCACGTACAGCCGACATTCGAGCAAGTCGGGGGCTTGCTGCATCCTGCTGTTCATGCTGCAGATGTGGTGGAAATTCATGTGGCAGAGACGCCTCTGATTGACGTCCAGGGCGCTCGTGTTGTTGTTGTTGTTGTTGTTGTTGTTGTCCATCACCACCACCACCATCACCATCATGCACGTGCTGTGGTTGCGTTTCGTTGGCAGCCTCCTCGCTCTTCATCCGCAGCACCAGCGGCGCGTCCTCCATCTCCTGCAGATTCGCGTAGAACGCCGTCGCATCGCCACTGACGGACACACACACACACACACACACACATGTACACACATACACGTATATATGTACACACATACACATGCACACGCAGTTGTGAGGGTGACATGAGGCATAACGGCAGCGGCGAAGCAGGCGCAAGTACTGACGACACAACATTGATGTATGCGCACATGTGTGCCCATCAAGCGCAACGTCCTCTTACCGCTGATTATTGCCATTGCCAGGCTGTGATTGCCCAGCTCGCTCCCTCTCTCTACCGTCAACATCACCACCACCACCACCAATGATGTTGGCGTCGTTGTTGTTGTTGGCTTCGACTGCCTCATCGCCGACCACGACAGCTGTTGCTGCAGCTGCCTTCTTCTTTTTCTTCTTTTTCTTCTTCTTCGACTTGGTTTTGGTCTTCTTCGCCTTGAGCTTTGCGGTGTGCGGCGACGCCTGTCCCTCTACGCCTTGAAGGTCCTCCTGCACCGGTGTGCGTTCTGATTGCGCCACGCGCAGCACATCCACGTCCTGCACGCGTGTCGGGTCAAGTGCCTGCAGGTGTGCCGCCGTGTTCTTTGCGCCCGTATCAAGCGCGCCGTGCCGAGGAGCCAACACAGACGCACGCACTGTGTGTATGTGTGTGTGTATGATAGTGTCAGTGGGTGGGTGGGTTAGTGACACAGTTGGCAGCTTGAAGGACATGTACGCACACGCACGTAGACGGTCAAGCACGCATGGACGATGCCAGCACTCACCGTGCGGATTTTCGAATTCCTTCAGGAAGTAGTGCACAAGTTGCACATTCGTCAGGTCCTGTGCGTGCGGTGCAATTGGGGGATGGGGGGGGGGGGTTGAGGGCATCAGTCAACGGTCAGGAGTGGCACACAAAGCAACGGTGTTTGAACACTGTTTAAACAAGTGTACATACAACACACACACACACACACACAAAACACTCACACACACACACACAAGCATCAGTCGCACCCTGGCGGTGATGTCGTTGAGAACAAAGGAGCGCCATCTGTCGCGGCCAAAGAGAGCGAAGATGAGCGGGTGCACATCGGATTGCATCACGACGGTGTTTCCCCGAAGGTCCAATTCGCGGAGGAAGGGCAGGGGCACCAGGAACGCGTCAATCTCGCGAAGATCCGAAATGCGGTTGTGGGCAACATTCAGCACGGTCAAGTTACTGGCAGCGTGTGCGTTTGCAGAGAGCGACGACGCGCGTGAGAACAGGTCGGGCAGAGACATGGTGCTGCGTACACACGCTGACGCATACACACGCGTGTACACCGGCGCAAGTGCATACACACAAGCACACTAGCACACAAGCACACACATCAACAGACACCCACAAGCATACAAGTATACAAACACGCGTACGAGAGGAACTGAAGGCCGTCCAAGGACTTGATCTGGTTGAAGCAGAGGGTGAGGTGGGTCAGCTTCTGCAGCCCTGATAAAACCATGGAGGAAGAAGTTGCGTTATGTGAACACGGAGAGAGTGCATGCCATGGCACACACGCACGCACACACACACACACACACACACACACACACACACACACACATACACACACACACGCACACACCACAAACATGCATCAAAAGGAGCACCCCAGCATGCGTGCTGATCACGCCAAGTTCACATACAAACAGTGCTGCTTGCATACCGTGTTGTGCCGCAATGTCACGGACGACAGCAACGGAGGTGATGTGGTTGTACCCGAGGGAGAGGGTGTGCAGACTCTGCAGCCGCGCCAGCTCAATGGCCAGCGCAGCAATCTTGTTGCTGCTGAGCACAAGCGTGTGCACGTTGGGCGCGCGCGCAATGGACCGCGAGATCTCGTGCAGCTCGTTGCAGGCCGCGTCCAAGATGTGCAGCGCCGGCCACACCTCGTCTGCGCCAAACCCGCCACCATCACCGCCATCAGCCAGGCCATCGGGAGGGGTAATGGCCGTATCGCGACTGCGCGCCACGCTGCCTTGTACTGCCGAGCTGTCACGAAGCGCCGTGTTTGGTGTCTCGGCGCCTGCAGCATCGGCGGTGCCGGCTTGCTTGGCTGGCGTTGCAAGCACGCTGGCCGGGGTGACGGTGGCAAAGGGCAGGCGGTCTGCGCCAAAGGAGACGAGCACGGCGTCGATGGGGTCCACGCACCGATACAGCACGAGCTGCTGCAGCTGGTCTTTGACAGCGTGGAGACCGTGCACGAGCCGCAGCTCAACGTGGCACAGGCGAAGCACCCTTACGGACTGAAAGAGGGAGATGTCCATGGTGGTGGGCGGCTCGTCTTCGTCGCCCTTGCCGTCAATGTGGACCACGGGCACGAGGTGGCACAGCTCATACACGGCTGAGAGCTCCCGCCGGTAGAGCGGATGCACTGCCACCTCTTCTTGTGTATCGGGACGGCAGTCCTGCGACGTGCTGGGCCACGTAAACACGGTGGCAAAGAACCGCAGCCACCGCGTCGTCACCTTCAGCACGCCATTGTTGCTCAGCAACCGATCCGCTGTCATTGGTGGTGGTTGGCGATGAACAGAAAGACATGAGAGAGGCATGAGGGGGGTAGCGGATGGAAGGAGGGAGAGAGTGTGTATGTGAGTGTGCGTGTGTGTGAGTGAGTGCGAGTGCGTATGTGTGCGTGTGTGAGTGTGTGTGTGTGTGTGTGACACAGCAAGTGAGAGAGAGAGAGATGGACACTGGTGCTCACACACACATACAAACACACACACACACACATTCACACACATTCACACACACATGAACGCACCGGAGCATGCTTTTGCAGCCTTTGCGGTCTCCTCTACCTCACCATCCAAGAGGACCTCATACCTAGCAGGCAACGATGAGGTGTGGAATCAAGATTAGGTGGGGGATCATGCATGGCATTGCACGCAGGCAGCATCAACAGCAGGCAGTGTCAACAGCAGGCAGCACTCACGGTTGTCGTCGGATGGGTGGCATTGGTGGTTGGCTGCTGGCCGCCGTTCCGCTTTCGTTTTGATGTGTGCTACTACTGTTTTTGGTGTCGCTTCAATGTTTTTGGATGACGATTTTGCGGGCGGGCGAGCGAGGGGCACAACAACACATCAGCACACACGCACACAACAACTCACGCCAAACACACACAACACCCGTTGATCCTGTTGATCATGAGTGATGTGTTGAGCCGTGAGAGGGGAGGGAAAAGCATGGCGTTGTTGAATGGAGAGTCAAACGAGCAGGGCCAGCCAAGGAGCGCTTCTCCGCCTCCGGTGGTGCAGGTGCGTGATGACTTTTCGGACCATATCTATGACGCATGGCTGACGCCCGAGGACTATGAAAAGCTTGAGAAGAAGTACGAGGATGCACAAGCGGTCAAGGCTGTCCTGTCTCACATGAGCACCCTGACCATCGAGGATCTCACGCGCGAATACAATCAAAGACAGGCAGCCCAACAACAGCAGCAACGACACCCACAACAACAACAATCACACCAACAACCACACCAACAACAAGAACAGCAGCAACCACAACAGAAACCACACCAGGGGAAAGCAGTGCAGAGGAGGTCCACGTCCGGCTACGATCACTTGCCACCACACCACGTGCGTGACGAACCCACACACAACTACGATCGGCTGGATGAAGCAGTCCCTGAACACCCACCCACGCCCGCAACCGCACACGCGGCCCTGACGAAGCCGGCGGGGTCCACCACCAACGTGGCTGCGACCCCACCGGCCTCCATGAACTGGTCGCCCACAGCAGACACCAGCCTCGACCGCATGGCATCCGAGAACAGCGAACAGCACCTGTACTATGCCGTGCATGAGCAGAAACCAGCGCCTGGCACGACCACCGACGCGACCGCCGATGACGGCAGCCAGCATCTCTATGCCGCCATCAACGAACAGCAGGTGTCCAGCCACAGCATCGGCAGCGTGAGCATCATCAATAACAACGGCATCAACAAGGCCAACAACAGCCACGCCAGTAGCAGCAACAGCAACGCAAGACGAACTGCTGCGCCAAAGCCAGCCGTGCCATCACGTGCAGCGGCAACCCGATGTGACTGGACAATCACGTGCCCTCCACTGCCACCGAAGAAGCACGAAGACGCGCCACCACGGCCACCGGTGCCATCGCCGTCGCCTGCTGCTCAAGGCAAGCCTGCGGCCGACCACACAGGCAGCCAAGCCGCTGTCACAGCTGTCACGGATGTCACAACACCAGGTGTACCAGCGCTGCCACCCCGCGACGCAGCCGAACCAGTGAGCACACAACCGCCACCTGCTGGTGTTGTTGATCCACCGAACGCTGTGAACCCCTCTCCGTCATCAACACACCCGCACCAGCGGAAACCGCGCGAGCCCATGCCGCTCCCCTCCTCCGCATCATCCTCGTCGCTGTCATCACAGCCTCGCCACCTGCCCTCATCTCCCACGCCACATGCCAGCCATCCCAATCACGGGCAGCCAGCACACCTCGATCGCCTTGTGCACCCCGACCTTCCCCAGCGCGAGGCTGCTGGGCTGCGGCCGCTGCCTGTTGTTCCAACCACGCCCTTTGCCAGCGTGGCCGTTGCGTCTCCGCCATCATCGCCGTTGTCTGCATCGTCGTCGGCAGCGGTGTTACAACCGCCTGCATATGGACCCTCTGGCGTGTCGAAGAGGGACACCCGCGGGCCCCTCACGGCCGCGGAGGAGGACGCATGGCTCAAGCGTGGCGCAGTTACCTGTGGTGTGTGCATGCGTCTGTGTGTGTGTGTGTGTTGTGTCTGTGTTTGTGCCTGTGTCCGTGTGTGTCTGTGCCTGTGTCTCTGTGTGTGTTTGTCTCTGTGTGTCTGCGTGTGTGCCTGTGTCTGTTTGTGTGTTTGTGTGTGTGTGTGTGTGTGTGTGTGTAGCTCGGTGGGCTGTGCCTTTGGTCTGTCGCTTGGTGGTTTGGTCTTCTCGATCATGCTCACACAGCACGCAACATGTGTGCGCGTGTGCCAGGTCCACTTGTGTTGCACGTGAGCGATGCGTCGTTTGCTCGTTTCGTGCACCACTGCACGACCCGCCGCATGGCCTCTGCCCTTCTCAAAGGATACTTTCACCAACACAACGCTTCGCTAGACACCGACGGTGCGTGGCAGAGTCAGCGAAAACATGTGTGTGCGTGTGCGTGTGTGTGTGTGTGTGTGTAACACGTGTGTAAAAGGTGGGAACAAGCACACAACTCGCACACACACTCACTCGCACACACACACACACACACACACACACACACACACACACACACGTACACATCTCACACACACACACACACATACACGTACGCTTCGTTCGCATGCGAATACGCTGTCCTTACAGGAACATATTTGTTGCGGAGCAGCCTGAAGAAGCGGTACACCATTGTTGTATCTGTCCTCTACCAGGGCTCAACGCGCCACTACGAGGTGTGTGCATGTGTTTGGCTCCGATGTGTGTGTGTGTGTGCGTGCGTGGTTGTGTGTGTGTGTGGATGTGTGTGTGTGTGTGTGTGTGTGTGGTTGAAGTTTGGTTGGTTGCATTGTTTCTCTTTCTGTGTCACTACATTATTGCCCTTCCTCACCAGCTGTATACTCACTTTCCTCGCGTGGTGCTTGTTCCAAACCAGTTTTCCCTCAACAAGGACTTGGCCTTCGTGAACGAACACGGCCGAGTGTTTGGCTCCTTGCGCCAGATGCTCACTTTCTTTCAGGTGCGGTGGGGCTGCCTTGCATGTGTTGGGGGTCTTTGCCACAGAACCATCCATCTCCACCTGCGCGCGCGCACACACACACACACACACACAAACTCACACACACACACACATACTCACACACGCACACACACTCACACACACATACTCACATACTAACACACTCACGCATGCACACACCACGCGATCATCAGAAAAACAAGGACAAACTATGCTGCCGCCTCCGGCACTGCCTTGCACCACCACCAGCGCGGCAGTGAAGCAGCCAAACTAACCAAGCAGCCAAGCCAAGCCAAGACACAAGCAACAAGCAACAAAGAGGGGCACAGGCCAACACGAGCCGGCACGAAACACGCCAAACGCAATCCATCTTCATCACGCTCATCGCTGCTGTTGTCATCGGTCACGTCATCCGCATAAAATTCGGGCAGATTTCCACACTATATTTCCCGTCAGGCAGCAGCGAAGGCAACAAAGGCGGAAAGCGAACGAAGCGAAGGTGGGTTTTTGGTGGGTTGGTGATGGACGGTTGAGGGTTGTGCGATGGGTTGTGATAGCGAGGAGATAGACAGACGAGACAAGCACACACAACCTGACCACCACGCGCACAGCACCCAATCGCATTCACGCGTTCAGGGGAAGAAGCGAAGGCGGAGTTGGGGGGCATTTGGTTCGGTCTGGCCTGACGTGTTGTCTGTTGCGTTTGCTTGCGTTGACGGGTGTTGTGCGTGCTTGTGCGCGTGTGCGTGTGTGTTTATTTCGTCGCAGCAGCAACAAGCAAAGGGGTTGTCAGTCCCTTCTTGAAAGATCGATCTTCACCTGGTTGGTTGCGAGGGCGACCGACCAGCAGGCGAGCGAGCGAGCGAGCGAGCGGTCGAGTGAGGAAGAACAGCAGAACTGGAACGGAGGAGAGACGTGCCTATGTGGGTGTGGTTGTGGAGAGAGGAATGATGAGGTACGCGTGCCGTGAGCCAGCAAGCGAGAGTCGCGTACGCAAGGAGACGACCACCATCAGCACCAGCATCATTCCACAACACACCCGCGCACACACTCCCATCGATTACGCACACGCGCGCGCGCATGTGGAGTGGGTGCTCTTCCTTTCTTCCCGTTCTTCCCTTTCTGCCTCGTCTTTTCGTTCATGCTTGAGCTCATTTTCACCTCCACCCTCGCCTCCTGCCCTGTTTGCGCCGTCGTGCTTCCTTGTTTCCCTGGCGCACGCGTGCGTTTGCGACAGAACGTGCCACAGGAGGAAACTGCCCACCAGCGGCCAGATACTGTGGCAGCGAAGAGTTTGCGACTTGAAGCACCTCCACTCCGTGCTTCGTCCTCGACGACGTGCCACCCACCCGCGCCCCAACGCAACACAGATCACACACCATGAGCAGCACCGCATCGACAAAGAAGAGGTCATCGACCGTTGCCAAGCCAAAGCGGCACCGCCGTCCAGCAGGTATGTGTCGTGATGTGTGTGTGTGTGTATGTGTGTGTGTGTGTGTGTGTGTCGTGATGTGTGTGTGTGTGTCGTGATGTGTGTGTGTGTGTGTGTGTGTGTGGGTTTGTGTGTGTGTGGGTTTGTGTGTGTGTGTGTCATGTGTCGTTATGTGTCTATGTGTGTGCTTGTGTGCACGGACACGCGTTTGCATATGTGTACATGTGTTGAAGCTTGCACGGGCATTGGACAACATGTGCGCGCGGCAGAATCTTGTTCTCACACGATGTACTCTCTGTCTCGTATCCACAGGAGTTGAGCCGCCAGCAGCAGAGGTGCTTGGTGTGGATGCGATCCTGGACGCCAAGGGCAAGCCACGCATCGACGTCCTCAGGGAACACTTCCGGAAAGAAGGTGATTTGTCCCCGCAAAGCACCCTTCGAGGCGTCTTGCGCGCGTGTATTGCGTTGGAATGCCCTCACATGCATTTACTGGCACAAGTTGGCCCCACCTGCCGTGTTAATGGGCAACGCCGTGCCCTACGCTTTCTCGTGTGTGCCTTCCTCCCTTGCTCACACACACACACACACACACACACACACACACACACACACACACACACACACACACACACACACAAACGACGTTGATGGGTGCTACTGTTGGGGGCAGGTGTGGTGACGGAGGAGGCCGCCATTCAGATCCTGATTACGGCGGGAAAAGTCTTGAAGGAGGAGCCGACGTTGCTCGAGGTCCCGGCCCCCGTCACAGGTGTGCCGAATGTGTGTGTTTGTGTGTGTCTGTGTGTCTGTGTGCATTGTGTGTGTGTGTGTGTAGTGTGTGTGTGTAGTGTGGGTGTGTGTGTGTGTGTGTGTGTCGTGCCGTGTTTTGGTGTTGTGTGTGTGTATGTGTGAACATGCATTCATGTGTGTGTCCACGCCCTGCTCCTTCCTCGTCTCTTGCTGTGATGCCCGCGCTCATGTGTGGCTGTGTTGTGTTGTGTGCAGTGTGTGGGGATGGGCGACAAGGACGATGTTGAGAAGCGACGAGAGAAGATCCGCAACAAGATCAGGGCCGTCGGGAAGGTCTCCCGCATGTTTTCCACCACCGCGGTTACTTCTCAATCGAGGTCCATTGCTTGCTCAACCGCGATGACTGGGAGGGAGGCAATTGGCACGTGTGTGTGCGTGGTTATGTGTGTGTGTGTGTTGTTCGTCTGTTGTCGCTCGTTCGTCATTGCCTCCATTCGCCTCCCGCGCCCCCCCCCACCATGTGTGTATCGCCTGGTTGCGGTTTACCTCACACCACTACGCCCACCGCCACGACTCACGCGTCATGTGTTACCCCGTTGTGTCTTGCAGGCAAGCGTCTGAGAGCGTGGACATTCTTCGCGGCATGAGCCCAAGCGGCAGCCTGCCCAAGGGCGTCCTCTCTGCCGGCCCGCTCGGCGTCGAACAAGGTAATGCTGCTGTTGTTGCGGCTGTTGTTGCTGCCGCCGTTCCTGTAGCTGCTGCTGCTGTTGCTACCCTGCAAGGCGTGCAAGAGAAGGGCTGCATGGACAACGTGTGCCACACTATATGCCACATCGTGTGACTAGCGGACCGATCTTGATCGCTCACAAATTGCACACGCGTGTACACTTGTTGCCACGCTTCATGCATGTGCAGCGATCCAAGGGTTTGACGATGCAAAGCAGGCTGATGCGCAGAACGAGCGCATGCCACCGCAGCGGCCGCCAACGGATCCACGCCGGTCGAAACGCCCATCAACCACGGATATGCTCCGGTCCCTTGCCATCCAGCCAACCCGCAAGAAGTGACATGTGCTGTGGTTCATGTGGACATGTGGTTGATGGGCTGTGGTCGTTTTGTGCATAGGTTTGGTGTCGTGCAGTCGTTTCTTGTTGCGGTGTGTATGTATCAGCCCGAAGCAAGGTAGCGCGTGGCGCAAGTGAGGGTGGGAATGTGAGTCAGGGAGTGTGTGTGTGTGTGCGTGAGCGTGAGTGAGTGCAACAGTGTGAGTGTGAGCGTGATGGGGAGAGAAATGGGAATGGATGGCCGACTGGCTGAGGCAGTGTGTGTGTGTGTGTGTGTGTGTGTGTGTGTGTGTGTGTGTGTGTGTGTGTGTGTGTGCATGGCTACCGGCTTGTTGTGTTGTTTTGAGTTGAGTTGAAGATATCAAGGTCCATAGCTGCGGTTGTGCTTGCATGTCGCGGTGGTGTCACCGCAGTGTGGTGCGATTTGATGATGATGACGTGCATGATTATGCTACGATGGTGGTGGTGGTGGTGGTGGTGGTGATGGGCATGGTCTGTATGTGGCAGTCTCTGGGTGGTGGTGCCAATGCAACCATCAACTCAGAAGTAAACGCTTGGATTGCTTTCGTGGCAGCACAACAGCACGCGCGATGGAGGTGGGTGGAAGGGTTCCACAGAGCTGTGGTTGTTGGCGATTTGTGGACAACTTGGCATAATTTTCGATGGAAGGTCAAGCACACACAACAACGACGACGATGGCGGACGACAGGCCGACAAGCAGCAGCAGTCGCAGTGCTCAGGCTGCCACTGGCGGTGTTGATGATGATGATGATGGTGACAATCGCACAACGCTGATAGATGCCTTGCACGGCATGGTGGATAACGAGCAGTTGCAACAACATGTGCTCCCAAAGCAGCAGGAAACGTGCGTGCCTCGTTTGCATTTGTGTGTGTGTGTGTGTGTGTGTGTGTGTGTGTGTGTGTGTGTGTGTGTGTGTGTGTGTGTGTGCGAGACACTCGTCTGCGAGCTCAACCTGCACTTCCCCCTTTCTCTCTCTCTCTGACACACCCACACCCTCACTCCTCCTTATGCACACTCATGTACATGTTTGGCTGCGTAGATTGGCGAGACTGCAGCAGACGACACAGACATTGGTGGCACAAACACAGGAGGCAGACCGCAAGCACATCGCTGTCCAACACCAGTATGCTCGCTACGCACATCTCATCAGCGCAGCCAAGGACGACCTCATGATCATCTTCCGTACCCTAAGGTGCGCTTTCACTATCCCCCCTTTGTTTTCTCGGTCTTGGTCTTGTTCTTAGAACATGGACGATGGGTGGTGACACCGGCTGGTGCTTGGTGTGTTCGCTTGCGCCCACAGCTGCCACTGCAGCTTGTCCTGTGGCTGGTCCTTTGTTGCTGCTGGTCCTTTACTGCAGATCTTTTACTGCTGGTCCTTTACTGCAGATCTTTTACTGCTGGTTCTGTGGCTGGTCCTGTGCTTGCGCCACTTACACCCTTCTTTCTCTTCTCCTGCTGGTAGATCGTTGCAGAGACACTTGCGGGAGACTGAGCCCGATGCTTGGGAAGGTGAGCATTAATGCCAACTTGCTCCTGCTTTGTTGTTCCTCAGGACACATGGGCTCTTGCCCCCCCCACACCCTGCATGACCACAGTTCGTGCTCTTGTTTTGTCTAACACTTGCCCTGCCTTGACCCTCCCCCACCCCCACCGTCTCATGAAACGCGTTTGCAGCAGCGACGGCGGCAGCGTTGGAGCGTGAGAGCGAAAAACACAACAGCCAAAGCGATGGGGTGCAGAAGGAACCTGTAGATGAAGGTGACGGTGACAGCGGCGGTCATGGATCACCTCTCGACACACCAGCAGCTGTTGGCGAAGAAGAGGGGATGGGCGCAACAGTTGGTGATGGTGATCATGGTGGTGTCAGCGAGGAGGGGGATGACAGACCTGCGCTGACGGGCGATCACAACGACGAGCGCGAAACAGGGACGGAAGCCATTGACGAGGGGCAGCAGGAACAAGATCGTGCATTGCGCGTCACGCCGGCAGCAACAGATGGCCAACAACAACAAGCCAGCGCGTGATGGCAGGAGTACACAAGCGCACACAAGAGTGCATCCACTGCACATGCACCCCGCGTTACGTGATCACGGATGTCATTGTTGTCTATAGCTTGCAGTGGTTTATCTCTCTGTTACACATCTTTTTCACCGTGTCTCAAAAGCAATAAACATATGCCCATAAGTGTGTCATGCGCCAATATAATTCAACACACATGCACACGCACACGCACACGCACACATGCGAGCTATGAGACGAGCGACGTTGCACGAAAGCATCAGTTGTGTGCGTGCATGTGTCGACGTGGGAGGTGCACGCTTGCATCTCTGTTTCCTGCCATGGCTGCACCTTCTCCGCCATTCGCATATGTGTATCGCACGCGAGCGTTGAAGGCAACCATCATGCGTGGCTCCGCGCCCTGTCAATGTGTGAGTGAGTGAGTGTGAGTGAGTGAGTGTGTGTGAGTGAGTGAGTGAGTGAGTGAGTGAGTGAGTGAGTGAGTGAGTGAGTGAGTGAGTGAGTGAGTGAGTGAGTGAGTGAGTGAGCGCGCGTGTGTGTGAGTGAGTGAGTGTGTGTGTGTGAGCGTGTGTGTGAGCGTGTGTGAGTGAGTGAGTGTGTGGTTTCGCAGTGCAATCGCTCCCCTCCCCCCCCCCCCAATACGCAGAGCACACCACGCATGCCAAGCGCTCTCACCGTGTGTGGGGGAACAAAATGATCCAGCCACGATGGAAACACGAGCACATCCCCCGCTTCAACGTCAGCGCTCACGTGACACCTGATGCGGAAACGTAATCAACCATGTCGTCGTATGTGTGTCAGGGCATTTGGAGGGTACGTGCGAGTGCGAGTGCGAGTGCGAGTGCGAGTGCGAGTGCGAGTGCGAGTGCGGAGCACAACAAGCATTGAAATGTGAAAGTGTCGCGATGACTGCAAGCGAACATTAACACGGACCGAGAGCTGTTGCTGGAGTGACAGTTCGGTTTGATGAACGTGATGCGCGTTGTGGCCGCTGGCGAAGCATGACCCGTTCTGTTTGGGGACCAACATTGCAAGGGGAGACGTGAGAGGCCGCGTGTACATGTGTGTGTGTGTGTGTGTGTGTGTGTGTGTGTGCTTGTTTGTTGCTTCAACCAAACAAACACCGATGTGCACGGTACTGAATGGCGCATTGCGATGATGAATGAACACTACGAATCACTTGTCACCAATCACCAAGCACCATCATAGCTATTGGCTCCCACCGCAAGTAGACGACGCCGGAGAGCGTGGCGTCCGGGTGGTTGTGCGGCGCATTGAAGTGGCCGCGACCATTCACACCGGCCCACGCAGAGTGCAGTTCGACCGTCAGCGTGTCGTCGTTGCCACCGCCACCACACCCGTCGCCGCAAGTACTCAAATCACCCGCTTCAGCACAGCCCCCAGCACAGCCACCTTTGACGGCATGGGCCACAAGAATGATGTTGGGTGGATCTCCATCATCATCACCACCGCTGTCATCTTGGCTCCCACCAAAGTCACCGTCACTTCCACCACCACCACCATCACCACTAACAGGGCCGTGTTTGTGAAGCATGTAGCCAGCGAGGCTGCTGGGCACGATGTGCACGGTGCCAGGCTGCATCTCCAGCGCACGCGTGTTGCCGAGCTGGAACGATGGTGGAAACGCAAGGCCGCTCGCTGGTCGCGGGTCCCGAAGATGAATGATGTTGCTGGTGATGTCCAGTCGCGAAGCCGCCAAGGGCAGCCACACCTCCAACCGCCCCTCTGTGTCATCAGCGATGGGCTGTTGGGACGAATGCTGGACACAGCTGGGTTCGTTCGCATCACATGCCGCATCAAGCGGCGCTGACAGTGCTGGAGCGCTGTGGATGTCGGTGCAGTCGAGCCCAATGCTTGCGGCCGTCTGAAAGGGTGACACAAAGCGCGACCCGTTGCGAACACAGACCTGCGCACTGAGCAGATGGAGGTTGAGACGGGGTGTCGCAGCGGCAACAGCAGCCTTTGCAAGCAAGCCAAGGTCACTTCTCACGCTGTTCAGTGTGTTCTGAGAAAAGTCTCCTTCTTCCAATGCACGAACAGCGTGCTGCAGGGGAGGAAGGGCGTGTGCTTGTGAGTGAGTGAGTGAGTGAGTGACTGTGTGTGTGTGAGTGTGTGTGAGTGACTGTGCGAGTGACTGTGTGAGAGAGAGTGACAGAGTGACTCTGTGTGTGTGTGTGTGAGTGTGTGTGTGAGTGAGTGTGTGCGTGTGTGTGTGTGTGTGTGTGTGTGTGTGTGTGTGTGTGTGTGTGTGTGTGTGTGTGTGTGTGTGTGTGTGTGTGTGTGTGACTGTGTGTGACTGTGTGTGTGTGTGTGTGTGTGACCCTGATGGCTCCCACACAACAACAAGCCGCTCACCCAAAAGTGATGGCTGGTGGGTGTGATGGCGCCTTGAAGCAGACGAGGTTGGTCCACGAGCAGGGGGACGCCGTGAATGTCATGTGTCCTGGGTGTTTCTTCCGCCGCAACAGCCCACCGCAGCCGCGCTTGAGTGGCGAGTTCATCCATGTGCGGCACATGTTGGAAGTGGAGCGAGCTTGAAAAGTCTTCCGCGGTGCGAGGAGGGTCCCTTCCGTTCACGTATGCGTCAAAGGCATGCACGTGCCGCTGCACGGCTCGCTGCAACGCATCGTCCCCTGTCGTTGAGGCCATTAACTGGCGCAGCTCCTGTCACAACGCAATTCACAAGACATGTTGTGACTTGGCTAGCAGCAACACACATCACAATGCAGTTGCTTTTCATGCAACAAGACACAGTGCAGTTGCCTCTCGCGCAGCGACACACAATGCAGTTGCTTCTCATGCAGTGCAGTTGCCTCTCGCGCAGCGAGACACAGTGCAGTTGCCTCCCGCTACTCAACACACACACACACACAACACACACACACACACACACACACACACACACACACACACACACACACACACACACACACACACACACACACACACACCAACCTCAATGGTGGATGCGATGGTGAGCTCACGATCATCACTGCTTCTTGCTTCCTTGCCGTTGCCTTGAATGCCTCCCGTCAGCTGCTGCAACACTGCATCGAACCCACCACCACGACCTGCGCTCACCCCGTTCACCACCATCCCTGCCAACACCAACACCACTAACGCCAACACCAACAACGCTTTCATGTTGTTGCTTTGGGATGACATGACGCAATAATATATGGCAGGAGGAAGGAACAATATGAAATGCGTGGTGTTTCTTTTTACTCCTGAGCGTGGCGGCTGTGGACTTGGACGGTATGGTGTGGCCACCACAGCTGTGCTTCACATTGGGGGGGGGGGTTGAAGCAGCAGCAGGGAGAACCACACATCAGGGCAGTGGTGGAACACACGTCGTGACATGATCATTGATGTTGATGTTGGCGGTGGTGGTGGTGGTCTTGTTGAACCACCATCACACACATGCACCACACATCACACATGCATCACACACACGTGTGTTCCACCTTCCTGGGCCTCAACAAGAGAGGATGACCAGGCGCCCATCACAAACAACCAACAAGAACAAAGCACACGCGCGCGCAGCGACATGCAGTAGGTAACGCGGGACAACAGAGCTCAAAGGGATAATGGTGAGGGGAGTCGCGGGATAGACCACAAAGATGATGGGACACAGAATGCAGAACACGCGTTGCAGCACACCAAACACACATGTGCACGCAGCAAACACACACACACACACACTGAACACACACCCAGCACACCCACACACACGCACACTGAACGCACACACACAAACAAACACACCAAACAAACAAACACACCCAGCACACCCACACACACACAACAGCAGCATGGGTGGTTATGGTGAGAGTAGGGAGGTGAGCGCATCCCTGAGATCCTGCACGCTGTACGTGTACTCGTGCGTGGGTTCCGCCTTGTGCACAAGCTTGCCGCCCTGCACAATGAAGAAGCGAAGAGGCCACGCACCAAACGCCGTCACCACCGCGTTGTCCAGCGTGTCCAGGTACATCGGGATGTGCCAGCCGTAGTCGTGCACAAACTTTCCAGCGGCGGTGGCGCGCTCCTCCACCGTCTTGTGCTGGTCAAACACGGGAACGTTGATGAACCTGTCCCCCACAGGCCACTCGTCCTGCGCGTGCGCTTCGCACAGGTAAACGGACATGAATTCCGCCTTGCCGGCAAAGTCCTCCGTCATCTGAAGAAGGTCCTCCACCAGCAGGCGGAACGGCGGTCACGAATACGACCCGCACATCACAACGCACGGTTTGCTGTCATCGTGCACAGCATCGCCGAGCGTGGTGGATGCCCCGTCCATTGTCAAAAGGGGCGTGGCAGTGACGTCATCGCCAGGTGACACAACGCCACGTGACGCGCGGTTGTACTTGCGCCAGTGCGACGCGCTCCTCATGTCCTCGTCCGGATACAGGGCCTCTGCCGCCTGCATCAGCTCAACCCCGACCGCGGGGTCGCTGAACCCAAACTCCTCCGCAACGCGCCGCTGCAGCCGCTGCGTGACGGGGATGACACCGTCGACCGTGTACTCGCGCTGCACGGCATCTGTCTTGCGCAGCTCGCTCTCGCGCTGTAGCATCGCCCGCACCAGCGCCGGGGTTACCCGCACCTTGGTCTCTGCCCGTGGGGGTGTTGTTGGAAATGTGTTGTTGTGAGAGTGTGTTGTGAGGGTAGCAGAAATAAGCTGCGCAGACTACTCTCGACACACAGCGCAAGTGCAAGCGCACACACATAAACATATGCACACCTGTGGCTTGGAGCTGTTCCTTGAGGTCAGGCGATGGCTGGTTGGTGTCGAACACGTCACGCCCATTGATCTTGTGCAACATGAGGGCCTGCATATGCGGGTGTGTGTGTGTGTGTGTGTTATGATGTCTTGGATGAGCAAAGCGTACGTGAAAGGGATGGTGTTTCGTCACCCGCACGACCAAAGACAGAAAGAGCTCACGCATTCACTTACCATTGCTCTCATCTTGTGCCCTTCCATGCGAACCATCATTTGCCCTGGAATGTAGATCAGAGGTGAAAACAAAAACAAGGCCAGAGTCGTGTGTGTGTATGTGTGTGTGTGTGTGTGTGTGTGTGTGTGAGTGTGTGAGTGTGTGTGTGTGTGTGTCTGTGTCTGTGTCTGTGTGTCTGTGTCTGTGTCTGTGTGCGTGTAACGTTACAATGCGCACATGTTGAAACCCTAAAACATGATTGAATGACGTGCACGCTCAAAGCAAGTGGCAGTTGCGTGGCACCTGGTGTTCCCTGGAAGTTGCCGAGTGGCTGGCCATCTGCGTCCTCGACTTCAAACTGCAGCTTCACAGTGCCGAACATGGGATCCAACTGAAACCACAGCGACCATGCGTGCGTACGTACATGTGTGTGTGTGTGTGTGTGTGTGTGTGTGTGTGTGTGTGTGTTTGGTGGAAGCACAACCGGCGGCAGGCAAAGCACGGTGAGCAAAATGTCAAAAAAAAAAAAACAAAAAAAAAAAAAAACAGGCACATCGACACTGATCTTGCAGTGTGCTTTGCATCAGCACAACACAGCGCGACTTGCCCATTCGCACGCCACTCGCTTCCTTTGACTTGCTTTCATGGTGGCACTCCATCTCGCACACTCACATACTCACACACATACTCACACACTCACATACTCACACACAGTCGCACACGCACACACACGCACACACGCACACACGCACACACACACACACTCACTTACGAGGATCTCGATGGTGCTTGTTTCGCCAGGCATGGTGACGGGGATCTGCCACGTGTTTTTCTTGCCGCCGTCGTCCTCACCCCTGACGGGGAACCCATTGACGGAGACGAGGCGGATGGTGCCACTCCACGGCTGTGCCGACGTGTTCTTGATGCGCGGCGTGAACCTGCGCGTGCCCGCGCGGAGGGTGAGGCAGTCCCCGTTCACCAGGACAGCTCGCCCATCGCCGCTGCCGCCAGACGATCCAAACAACGCCTGGAACATGACGACAGGAGGGTCGCCTTGGCCTTGCTTTGCCTTTGCCTTGCCTTGCTCTGCTTTCTCTCACCAGATGTTACAAAGAGATCAAGACTGATGAGAGCGGAGATGAAGGGGGAAGGAAATGAATGTCGACACAACAAGCAAGTGAATGTGAGGAGCACAGCACACTCTCTCGATGTGCTGTGACGTGGAGGAAGAAAGAGAGGAATGATGACTCAGCGGACGCCGCCCGGCGCTATATGTGCTATGCGACACCACAAAATGCATTCACCCAACGCCACACTTTCTGCTGCAGCAGCAATCTCAGCAACCGACCAACGCACACACTGATCTACTTCTTGCCACCGACTGCACCCATTCCCAACACCTCTTCATATGTTCAGCAGCAGCTGTTGCAGCAGCGAGAAGAGCACGAGCATCAGAGCCAAGGACCCACCAGCAGCAACCGTGGCGACGCAGGCAGCAAGGAGAATGTCCAAGTACACTGTTGTGTTTGTGAGGCACGGGCAGTCCGTGTGGAACTTGGAGAACAAGTTCACGGGCTGGGTCGACGTGCCGCTCTCGGAGCAGGGCGTGTCGGAGGCCCAGGAGGCAGGCAAGATGCTCAAGGAGCACAAGTACGAGTTTGACATTGCCTACACCTCTGTGCTCAAGCGCGCCATCCAGACATGCAACATTGTCCTGGAGGAGCTTGACCAGCTCTACATCCCCGTGGAGAAGGACTACCGCCTCAACGAGCGCATGTACGGCGCCCTCGCCGGCCTCAACAAGCAGGAGACCGTCGACAAGCACGGCATCGACCAGGTGCAGCTGCGTGCGTGTGTGTGTGTGTGTGTGTGGTGTGTGTGTGGTGTGTGTGTGTGTGTGTGTGTGTTGGTTTGTTTGCTTGTGTGTGTGTGTGTGTTTGTGTTGGTTTGTTTGTTTATTCATTTGCGTGTGCACTTGTGAAAGGATGAACACCATCGCACCCTCAATCTGCCTCACCCGAACAACCAACATATTGGTCTGCCCCCCCCCCCATACACACACACCAAACAAACAACAGGTGATGATCTGGCGCCGCTCGTACGATGTGCCTCCACCCCCGGCCACGGAGGACCACGAGTACTATCCGGGCAACTTCCCCTGGGCCAAGGACATCCCCAAGGACAAGCTCCCGCTCACGGAGGTGCGGGCACGCATCCATGCATCCATGCAACCATGCGCGCGCGAAGTAGCAGGGTGTGGGAGCAGCGCACAACAAGCATGCAGGGCCATCACACAATGTTGTACATCAACGCACGCACGCACACAACACACAAATGTACACACACAAATGTACACACACACACACAAGTACACACGCACAAGTACACACATACACACACACACACACTCACTCTCCCTCTTCCCTCATCCACACACTCCTCCTCGTCCTCGTTCTCTGCGCCACAGAGCCTGAAGCTGACGCTTGAGCGTGTTCTGCCGTACTGGAACGAGACGATTGTGCCGATGGTGAAGAGCGGCAAGCGCGTGCTCATCGCGGCCCACGGCAACAGCATCCGCGCCATCATCAAGCATCTCGACAACATCCCCGAGGACGTCATCACCAAGATTGACGTACCCACGGGCGTGCCGCTCGTGTACGAGTTTGATGAGGACATGAAGCCCATCAAGCGCGAGAACGCAGCCGAGCACCTCTCCGGCAGGTGCGTCATCGTCGTCGTGCGTCGTGCGTCGTTGCTTTTCTTGTTCTTGTTCTTGTTGTGCTGGTATTTGCTATTGTGTGTGTGTGTGTGTGTGTGTGCGTGTGTGTGTGTGTGTGTGTGTCTTCCTTGCTTCTCTCGCAGTCTGTGTTGACTCCTCCCCCCCCCCGTCGGCCACCACCAACCCCAAATTGCATCCCGTCACCCGCGCCATCAACGGCTCCCTCCCCCCAACCTCACACAACAATCCCTTCTGCCCTTCCCCTCTTTGTCTCCGTCGCAGCTACCTCCTCAACCCGGACGAGCTCAAGAAGAAGATTGAGGCCGTCAAGAACCAAACAAAGGCCAAATAAACACACACACACACGCGCGCGCGCACGCACGCACGCACACAAACACAGCCACACACATATGTACAGCGCGGATGTGCGCTCATGCATGGTCCCTTTGCTCCACCCCCTCTCCCACGTGTTACTTGCACGTCACCACCCGGTCAGTACATCCGAGCACGACATGCGTGTCCATCGCAAACATGATTGAAGCGCGAATGGAGCTGAGGTGTACTTTGGAGACAACACACACACACACACACACACACACACACACACACACACACACACACACACACACACAATCGCACATGAACATGTGAGCTGTTACAACTCCTGTGTCCGTTGCTGCGTCTGCTTTCGTGCTTCCGCGCTGCTGCCCCTCGTACCTCTCGCGCCACCACCACCACCACCACGTTCTTCGCCTGGAGCATCGTTGAACTCTGGCCAGGTGAAACATTTGATGGTGACGTCCACGTCAGTCCGGGTCCTGCGGCGTGTAAACGCGTTCTGCGTGGGCGTCGGTGGCTGCACCCGGTAGAGGTTCACGCTGGTTCGCAGGCCCATGTCGCCCCAATACACGTGGTCCACGTGCGTGCCGTTCTGTAACGTGAGCGCACCGGCAGCCGTGTCCCGTTGCCCCATGCCACTCAACACGTGGCACCAGTGGCGGGAGAGCGGCCAGATTGCGCGGCGCCGGAGGTGCTCGTGTGACCGTTCCTGAACCTTGTGCAAGAAACGCTCGTACCGCCATGACGCATACAGGCACGACGTGCAGGTGGGGATGGTGGTGCGCTGCCGCTCCATCTCGTCACGCGTCGTCACCACAACACGCCCTTGCCTCAGCGACGCCAGCACATCTACCTCCAGCATCCCATACGAATACAACTGCTCCTCCTCCTCCTGCTGCTGCTGCGCGATGAAGCGAGCGGGGACGGTGGCGTGGACCGTGTACCACTTGCTGTACCCGCTCGGGTTGCTGAACATGACCCAGCCCTGGTAGAAGCGTAGCGCCTGTCCAATGTCGCCGTCATCGAAGCTCGTGATCACGCGCGCATCTGTTGCCAGCCACTCGTGCACCATGTACACCATCAGCACACATCCAATCACCCTCCATGCACGCCCGCCCCACGACGATGAAGTTGGTGGCGATGAAGTTGGTGGTGCCGAGTTGGCAGACACGCTCTGGTCATCTCCGCCCCGGTCTGCTGCTTTGTCTCCTGTCTGCTGCTCTTGCTTGTCCTGTGCTGATGGACGCCGTGCCGTTGCCCAGATGCGTGCAACGAGCGGAAGATGCACCTCCATCCAGTCCAGCGCCACCGACGGCAGCAGGATGAGCGTGGCGAGTGTGGCAAAGGCAGACCACTGCGGGAGATAGAACATGACGAAGATGCCTGCATGCACGGCGGCGGTGTTGGCGATGGTGGCCAGGCGCATGCGCGTGCTGCGGCGTGTGGTCAGCAGGATCATGACGGGGATGATGGCCTCGCCAACCATGCCCGCATACGACAGAAGCTTGCACGCGTCGGGAAAGGCAACGAGCTCGTTGGCTGGAGGGCGGGTTGCAAACGACGCGCCCAGCGCATAGCCAACAGCTGTGCCGTCAAACCACGTGTGTCCGTCCTGGCACCGAAGCACAATCACCCCAGCGTACATGAGACACATCTGCAGGACGTAGCCCACTGTTCCCACCGATAGCTGCGTCCGCATCACGGGTGCAGGCGGCGCTGATGAGCCATGCTGGGACATGGGCCGAGACGGCGGGCGTAGGTCCATGAAGCAGCACCACAGAAGCAGGTTTCGAAAGTACTTGTCGCTGCCGTCGTGAAAGCACTCCTGGCGCCCGTGCATGCACACTGTCGCCAGCCACAGCAAAAGGCTGGTAACTCGCGGGCGCCAACCCAGTGTGAACAAAGCAGCTATGGCGATGTGCACAGTAAACACGGCTGTCTGAAATTCCACCGATCCGCGGTAGAACAGCACCTTGTGGATCCACGCGCCATGCGGGGTGTCCTCAACAGCAACAGCTGCCGCAGGGTCCACATCCGAGCCCGTGTACCTGCATCGATTGGTGTTTTGCACGTGTGTGTGTGTGCACGTCAACAAGTGAGCTTACACACTGGCGTGAACGCACAACGCAGGGTGTGCGTTGAAGAATGGGTTGTTTTACACCACACATTGCATCACTGTTGCGTTATGACCCACTGGGCTTCAAGCTGTCATGTCATTTCACAACACACAAGAACGTGGCCGGATGGCAGAGCCGCCACGGGTTACACACGCACCAGTGAATGCCGCCGCTCATGCACAGGCGAAGAAACAGGTCCACCAAGGCGTAGGTTCCGAGTATCACCCGGCACAACACCACCGCACGCTGGTCAAGCTGGAAAGGTGCAGCCACCTTCGCCAACAGCCACCTCATCGCGGTTGTTGTTGCGGTCATTCACCACGGCAGCGGTTGTAGAAAAGTGTCATGTATCATTCCTATGTTTCGCATGGATGACTGACCCTGCAGAGTGAAATCGCTGAGCGAACAACACAAACACGAACACCTCCTGCCTGCCTGCACCGACACACAAACACACACACACACACACAAACACACACACACCGACACCAATCTACATCTACCCACGCGCCATGACGGCACCCCGACGAGAGTCGCTCCACGATGAGCTGCAAGCTATTGAGTCTTTGATTCGATCAGAGGAAGAAGCGGTGCGTGTCGCTGATGGTCCATGGAAAGAAGTGTTGCTGGCTGCTGTTGGTTGGTGTTTGCTGTGGTTTTTGTGGGTTGTTGTGATTTGCTTGTTTGTTTGGTCATGTCGTGCCTCACATGATTCGCCTGGCTGGCACTGCTGTTGCTGTCCTTTGTCTACTGTGCCAACACGGTTGCGTTTCCCAGGTATTGCAAGAACTGCACAGTGACCAGGATCAAATGCAACGGCTTCAGGAGCTGCGCTCTCGAACACAGCAGGTGTGTGTGTGTGTGTGTCTGTATCTGCTGTTTGCGTGTGTGTGTATGTGCATGCGCGCGCGTGTGTGTGTGTGTGAATATGCATGTATGCCTACCTGTGTGTGTGTGTGTGAATATGCATGTATGCCTACCTGTGTGTGTGTGTGTGTGTCGTCCCCGAGGTTCACCCCAACCTTGTACCTTGCAACGGTGACCTGACAACTGTGTGCTTGACTGTGACACTGTTTCCTTCGTGACAGATCTTTGAGCAGTATGACAGCAGCAAGGCCACGCTCGATCAAATGGAGAAGGACTTGTCTGCATTCAAAGCACAAGCAGGTACCATCAGGTGTAACTATGCAAATATCAACGCATGCACCCCACTCGCACAACCCGTCTGCTGTGTTGATGCTACTGCTACCGACACTGATCTCTGCTGTCGTGACTGCACTGCCATTTGTGCTTCTGCCTGTCAGACCTTTCAGACAACGACAAAGCGACATGTGCAGGCCTGTTATCAACAGTGCGAAGCCGTCAAACCAAGATTGAGCGCAATCAGGTATGCACTGCACTGCACTGCACTGTGTGTGTGTGTGTGTGTGTGTGTGTGTGTGTGTGTGTGTGTGTGTGTGTGTGTGGCGGCACCGTGCCTGTGCAAAGCAATCATGGGATTTTGTCCCTGCAGTCGCACATGTGCCTGCATCTCCCTCGTCCTCATGAACGCCGTCCACCGTTGGCACTGCAACACGTGCACCAGCCCGCACGGACACAGATTATGCGAGAGTTGGACATGGCAGTTGAGCTTACCCAGTCGTTGGCAGCGCTTGGATCGCACCGCGACTACACCATCATGCACGCCATCAAGGGCCTCGCAAACACCAAGGTGTGTGTCTCTGTATGTGTGTGTGTCTGTATGTGTGTCTGTGTTGTCTGTGTGTCTGTGTGTCTGTGTGTCTGTGTGTTTGTGTGTCTGCAATTGTGGGGACTGGTTCGGGTTGCTCATGTGCGTTGTAGTCATGCGACGACTTTACCCAACATCGATTCCACATTTCCATCACACCAGGCTTTGCGTGCAGGCGGACAGGAACCAAAGGCAGAGGTGCGCCGTACACATACACACACACACAAACACGCACAGACACACACAAACACACACACACACAAACACAAATACACACACACACACACACAAACACGCACAGACACACACAAACACACACACACACACACAAACACACACACACAAGCATACACGTACCACATCCACCCTGCATGCAACTCATGCCATGCCACTACACCCCTCACAAACAGGTGTTTGACAAGCTGCGTGCGGTGACGTCGGAAACGCAATCGCTGAGCGTTTCGCACACGAACCTGCGCGTGCGCCAGGGCCACTGCCTTCGCGTGGCCACCCGTCTCATTGGCGATGTTGAGTCTGTTGACGTCGACGACCTCAGACCGCGCGTGAACGAGCTCATCTCCAGCAGAGGCACCGCAACCAGCAGCACGTCTAGCGCAGAAGCACACACATGAGGAACTGCGTGTTATGTGTGTGCGTGTATGCATGTTAAGTCAGTATGTATGTTAAGTTTGTCCATCTGTCTGTGTCTGTGTGCCTCCCGTCTGCGTGTCCTTGTCGCCCTACTCTCTGTCTCCCTCCCTTGTTTCCCTGTGTGTCTGCGTGTCGTTTTTATCAAGCCCCTGCCGGCCGGCTCGCGAAGTGAAATCTGCGTGCACACATGTCGAACCGTGTGTGCTTGTGCGTGCACACATGTCGAACCGTTTGTGCTAATGCGTTCAACACCATCGCCACCACAACTGCATTTGCACGTTACACCCTGAATCGTAGCCACTCCCCGACCCCGATCCCCCCGTTTGTGGCACGTCAATCATTGTTATTCATTGTTATTCATAGTTAACAAACAGCAAGCAAACCCAACAAGAGGAAGGAATGTAACCACGAATGAAAATCGACAAGAAGGTGGGGGGAGCGGAATGGGGAGGGGAAAGAGTAAGCGTCGTATAACCCAGTCCCCTCACTCCAAATCTAACACCACAAACGGCAATGTGTATATCATGCCAACCCCCAATCAAACACACAAACACACCACACACACACACATACACACACACAAACACACACACACACAACAAACACACACAAACACACACGCGACCACTCAGCACTCATGCTGGTCCATTGCGGTGATGATGGCTGGGAACGACGGGCGGTCCTCGGGCTCAAACTCAAAGCACTTGTCCAGCAGCGACCTGTACCACGCCGGCACTGTTGCGTCTGCACATACAAAAAATGCGGAGACAGGAGGGGGAGTTGATGAGTGGGCGTCGTTGCAGTGTGGATGAGAGTCAGGAATGGTTCACACCACACACGGCGGCTTGTTTCGCAGCAAACACGCACACACAACACAACACACAACACAACACACAACACGTACACACCTTCCGGCAGGGCGAGGCGCTTCCCGTCTTGCAAGAGATTTGTCATTGTGACGAGGAGAGGGCCAGTGAAATCGCCAAGTTCCTGCTTGATGAGATCAGGGTCCCCCTGCGTCGCCAGCTCCCACAGCACAACACCGTAGCTGAACACGTCTGCCTTGAGCCCGTACGACGTGCCGAGGAACGCCTCTGGCGCCATATACAGCGGCGTGCCGACAGCAGCCGTCATGTGCAGATTCACCGTCTGCATGGCCGTAGCGCGCGAGTACTGCATCTCAGAGCCGTCAAACGACGACGATGATGGCGATGATGACGTTGGGAAGGATGATGTGAAGGCCGAGGCATGCTGCTGCGGTGCACGTCGCAAGCACGCGCGAATGGACCCAAAGTCGGAAATCTTTGCGCGGAGCGTCGCCGAGACGAGGATGTTGGCTGTCTTCAGATCCCTGGTGGAGATGGAAGTTGGGGGGGGGGGAGGAGAAAGAAAGATAGCAGATGGATGGATGTGTGGGTAGGTAGGTAGGTAGGTGGGTGGTGGTGGTGAGAAACTGCTGCGGGTTGCATAGTGACGTGTTTTAAACGCTCGTGTGCACACAACACACACGCGCAGGCGAGTACTGAGCACAATACACAAATCAAAAACACACCACTCAAATGTACTCAACACACTTCCCCACCACACACACACACACACACACACACACACACACACACACACACACACACACACACACACACACACGCACACCAGCGCACCTGTGGATATGTCCGAGGGAGTGGATGTAGGCCATACCGCTGGCAACGTCTCGTGCCATGCGCAGTTTGAGATCAAGCGCACATGTCACCTCCCCATCAACAGGAACACGAACACGCCCGCCCGCACCCTGGCCGCCAGAAGCACCATCGCTGCTGCTGCCGTTGTTGTTGGCAGTGCCGTTCACACTGCCGTCACCACCCACATACGCGCTCGCAGCACCAAACATGGCATCATCATCAACGCTGTTGCCCTCAGAGCCCGTTGTTCGTACTGCTGCCAGCGACGGCCCCGTGGTGAGGTTGGCCCGGCCGCTACCAGCAAGGCCACCAGTGAGGGTGTGGGCGGAGACGGTGGAGGACCGGAGCCGCGCCTGCACGTCGACGATGACTTGGTCAAGGTCGCGGGTGAGCAGCGACTGGAGCGAGCCGAGCGCAATGAGCTCAAGCACGAGGAAGGGCGAGCCGTCAGCACTGCACCCGGCGCCGAAGAAGCGGACGACATTCGGGTGCCGACACGTGCGCAGGAACTCAACCTCCTTCTCAAACTCTGCCGTGGTGTGTGCATCGTAGATGACCATCTCCTTTCGCAGCACCTTCACCGCCACGGTCACCGTGTCCCACTTGGCGCGCCACACCGCTCCAAAGGCACCAGTCGAGTCACGGTCGATGCGTGCTCGCAGGTCAAGCTCGTCAAAGTCAATCTCCCACGCCTTCTTCAGCGCCATCACCTCCTCGTCCTTCTCCTCAATCAACCGCTTCTGTAGCTCATTCTCCGTCTCCAGCTGCCGCCTGTATTCACGCTTGGCAAGAATTCGCTTGCGGTACATGAGCACGAGCGGGCCCAGCGCTGCGCCAATCAACACAGAGGCCACGGCAACGCCAGCAACGGCACGGCTGCCCAAGCCACGCGCCTTTGGCACGCACAGCTCGCCGCGCTGGCGGTGGCTGCTGCTGCAGGCGCAGTCAAACGAGTACCCAACACGGTATGTCCACTCCTTCATCTCCGGGTCGTACACGTGCAAGGTGTCGAGGCGAAGCGAGCACGCAATGGGGGCCCCACGAAGCAGCAGCACAATCGGTGTGGCGCGGGTGGACACAACCTGGTTCACGCGGTTACGAAACTCGCGGGACCCAATCAGGAACTGCTTCTCCAGCGCCCGCACGGCCGTGAACGTGTTGAGCCACGTGTTCTCAGAAATGTCCACCACCGTGCCCTGCGCAAGGCAGCGCGCCAAAAAGTCGCGCTCGTTTGCGCGATAGGACGCGTCGTCCAGCATCGCGCGTGCGCCCAGCGTGACCTGGCCCCACGTGTCGCACATGGTGGGGTTGTACGGCACACGTGAGCGGCTCACCTCGAGAATGTCAGCGGCAAGCAGGGTGAGGTTGGTCAGGCTTGGGTTTTCCTGCGCGCCGAGGATAAACACGCTCTGCGGCAGCACGATGGTGGTGAGCATGGGGTTGTAGCTCAGGTACACGGCGTTGAGATCCGCCTTGACATCTGTCAGGTCAAACGTGGTGTAGGCGGTGTGCTCCACGCCAAACTGCTGCACGTTGTCGCCCAGCACGGCAGCAATGGCCCGCACGGAGAGCGTGGCCTCGTCCAGCGTGTGCCACCCGATAAACAGGCCGGTGAGGTCGCGCAGGTAGGGCTCGCCGCCGCCAAGGAAAAGCGGTGTTGTGGGCAGTTCCAGGTGAAGTGCCTCCAGGGTGCGCAGACTGGCGAACGGCTTCAGGCGCGGGCTCGTGGCGTTGCTGGCGGGATCCGTGCCGTTCGTAAACTGATCGGGAACACCACCACTGCCATCATCGCCACCACCACCAGTGCCAGTACCAGTCTCTCCGCGGATGGCAGCAGCACGATCGAGGTCGAAGCGGGAGATGGTGGCGTGCCCGCCGCCCTCGGCGCGGCTGATCCACAGGTTCTCGAGCCGCGGCATGTACATAAAGGCGTCAAGGGAGATGGCCGGCACAAAGTGGTTGCGGAAGTTGACGTGCTCCAGGTTCACCAGCTGCGAGAAGTCAGGCAGCTGCAGCAGGGCGTTGTCTGCGCAGGAGAGGACGGTGAGGTTGGTCAGGTCTGTGATGCCCGTGTCTGGCGGGAGCGCGGTGATGCGGTTGTGGTCCAGCACAAGCACGGTTAGCGCCTGCGTGCTGTTGAAGAGGCGGTGCGGGAGGCGTGTCAGGTCGTTGGACGAAAGGTCCAGGTTGCCGAGGGAGGTGAGTGGCGCCAGCAGCCGCTGGGGAAGGTCGGACAACTGGTTGCTCTGCAGCAGGAGCTCCGTGAGGCGTGGCACGGCATCAAACACCGTCTCGTCGAGGGTGTGCAGCTGGTTGAACCCGAGCCAGAGCCGCTCCAGTTGAGAGTTGGCGGCCAGCGCGTCCACGGGCAGGGCGGTGATGTTGTTGTTGGAGACGTCCAGCCAGGTGAGGGAGGTGAGCAGCTGCAGCGGCGCGTCTGTGGGCAGCAGGCTGGAGATGCTGTTGGACGACGCAATGAGCGTGACGAGCGCTGACATGGGCGATGGGAGCGCCGGCAGCGCGGTGAGGCGGTTGCGGTCAATGCGCAGGTCCTGCAGCGCAGCGAGGTCCGCTGACGCAGCTGGTGTGGTGAAGATGATCTCGGTAAGGGCGTTGGCGCTGACGTCGAGGGAGGTGAGGGTGGATGCGCTGGCCTCAATGGCCGCACGCAGGTTGAAGGTGGTCAGGCGGTTGTGGGTGAGGTTGAGGCTGGTGAGCTGGGAGAGGGGCGTGTCCAGGTCCAGCATGGAGAGCCTGTTGAAGGAGAGGTCGAGGCTCTGCAGTAGCGGTGCAGTGATGCTGGTGACGCTGGTGAGCTGGTTGGACTTGAGGACAAGCGAGGTGAGTTGGGACAGGCTGACGGCGAAGGTTGCGAGCGTGTTGTTGCCCATGTTGAGTGAGGTCAGCTTCGGGAAGAGGGTGCTGAGGGCGGATGGCTGCGTGCTGAAGCGGTTGTTCTCCAGGTTGAGGCTGACCAGGCTTGGTGCGACGACGTTGCCGAGCTGGGTTAGGCGGTTGAACGATGCGTCCAGCATGGTGAGGTTGTTGGCGGTGCCGATGGTGAGCGTCTCCATGGCGTTGTGCTGCAGCTGCAGCATGCGCATGGCGGAGGGGAGGCCTGCCAGCATGGTGACGCGGTTGTTGCTCAGGTCCACTTGGAGCACGTCCAGCTGGGCCAGGCCCACGCTGGCGATGTTGTTGTGTGCAGCAAGCAGTTTCTCCAGCCGCGGGCCGGGGATGATGTTGCCAACACTGTCCACGGGCGGCGTGTAGCGCAGGGTCTGGATGCTGGTGGAGGAGAGGTCCAGGTGCACCAGGTTGGGCAGGTTGCGCAGGAAGGTGAGGCCCTCAATGGCATCGCCGCCGAGGTTCGTGCCGTCCAGGTAGAGGTGGGTGAGCGCGCTGCGGGTGGAGGCGATGGAGATGGAGCCGACAGGCGAGCCGCCCACGCTCACGCTGACGAGGGAGGTGGGCAAGTGGGCAAAGTTGAGGGCCCCGAACGCCGTGTTGCGCAGGTTGAGGGTGCGCAGCTTGGAGGACGACATCGGGGCGACAAAGGTGGCGTCGGTCACGGCCGTGTCCGACAGGTCAAGGGACTCAATGTCGTTTCTGCTGGTCAGGTTGACACCGGATATGGAGGCGCCGTGCACCGCCAGGGTGGTGAGCCCGACGCGGCCGGCCCTGTCGAAGAAGGTGGGTGACAGCGGCTGCGCACCGGCGTCCAGCCTGAAGATGAGCGTCTCCAGCAGCGGCCAGTGCCAGTGCGTGAGGAACCGCTGAATAAAGCCGGCGTCTGGGGCGCCGACGATGCTGAGCTTGGTAGGGGCCTGGGGGATGAGGCCCGCCACAAACGGAATCAGGCCCGTGTCGTTGACAAACTGCAAGGTCAGGTCAACGGTTGGCAGGTCCGCTGAGCAGAAGGAGATGAGGTTGTTCTCCACCGTGCATGTGGCTGCGAATGAGCGGTACTCCGGCTGCCCGGGCTCGTTGCCACCACGGCGATCGGCCGGCGGATCATCTCTTGCGCGGCGGCTTCGTCCAGACCTGTTGTAATGTGTGTGTTGGGGGGAGGGGTGTGTGTGTGTGTGTGTGTGTGTGTGTGTGTGTGTGTGTGTGTGTGTGTGTGTGTGTGTGTGTGTGTGTGTGTGCGTGGTTGTGTGTGTTGTCTTGTGTAAGCGAGTGCAAACCCTCAAACACTGAGTCAAAGCCAAGCACAACCACCAGACCACCAGACCACCAGCAACAAGGGGCATGCTCACGTACGTGGTGATGCTGTCATCATCAGCCAGCAGCCAACGGCTGTCAGTAGAGCAAAGGTGGTGTTTCAGCAACCCTGTTGTATACGTGTCGCGAATGCCAAAGATGTCGGCCTGTGTCTGAGCTGCTGGGCACAGAGCATCATCACTTACACCTGTCGCTTCTCCTGCTCCAACATCACGTGCGGGCGCGCGTGTCGCACCCACTGCCAGCGTCAGCGCCAGCGCTACGAAGGCGCACGACGACAGACTCGCGCAAAGACGCCTCGTCATCGTCACTCGTATTTACGATCGCAAGGAGGAGGGAAAGTGGCTTCTTGGGCGTGTTTTGCTTTTGGAGGGGAAGTTGTGTGGGAAAAGCAAGGCAGCGAATGGCGACAGCGACACACAAAAACGTTCAGATGGGGAGACGGTGTGCGCACTTGCGTACCCACACACAAACACGTATGCAACCCATCACACTGCACACACCGCACACACCGCACACACCGCACACACTGCACACACTGCACACACTGCACACACTGCACACACTGCACACACTGCACACAGACACACACTGCAAACACACACACACACATATATACATACACACACATATATATATACACACACATGCACACGCATCAGCCAGTGTCTCCGTTGTTGCCATCTGGATTGCAGCGGCTGGTGAAAAAGGCCAGGCGCTCGTGTGGATACGGGTGTGTGCGGAACCAATATGGAACGCCCGGGTTGGGCACACGCATGGCAGCCTGCCTGCTCCAGAAGGCCTCCCCGCCACACGCATACCCCTTGTGCGCAGCAACGGCGTCCGCCTCCCACTCCTGGCGCCGATACAGCCAGCGCAGCGCAGCCCCCGCAGGGGCAATGGACAGCAGCGTGGCCGTCGCCGCTACGGGCCGGGAAGCACGCGCCCACCGCCGCAGGGCAGGGCCAACAGCAAACGCCGCCGTGAGCGCAGCAGCCGTCGCCGTCACGCGCTTGGTGTGGTGCTCGCACGTGATGTGCGCCAGCTCGTGCGCCAGCGCATACCGCTGCTCCGGTGTGAGAATCGTGGAGGCCTCGTTCGGGTGTACGCGGGGCCGGATGTCGCACGCGTCTGCAGCAGTCACGCGGCTCAGCGCATAGTTGAGGCCAATGCCTTCCGAGAGCAGCAGGTATGCTTGGCCAAAGGGAAGCCGCTGTGTTCCTGCAGACGCTGCCTGGGAATCGTCGCCACCGGCGATGAACGACACCTTCATGCGTTGCGGGTCGACCTCAAACACAGCAAAGAGGCTCGCCAACTCAATCAGCAACTGCAATGTGGTTGAAATGAGCAGAAAACGGGGGGGGGGGATGAGGTGTGTGTGAGTGCATGTGTGTATGTGTGTGTGCATGTGTGTGTATGTGTGTGTGTGCATGTGTGTGTGAACGGGGCTATGTAAGAATGTGATTGTCTTGTCACGACAGGGCGTGCTTGCACACAAGCGGCGCAAGCGGCGCAAGGGCGTGCATGCACACACACCCATGCATACAATACACACACACACACACTGCACCATGCACACACACACAACCACACAAACACACCTCGTCGCGGAACGGCTGCGCTTCGCGCTGGTTGCGTTTGCGTTCAATGTCTGTCCATGCGTGTGCAGGTAAGCTCAGCGAAGAGTCTGCGAGGCTGTTCATCAAGGGACCAACCCCAAACAAGGTCGCCAATGCAGTGCCAGATGCCACAAGCATCACCTTGCCCAGCGATGAACGCAACGGCATGGCAGCGGTGCGCTTGTGTCGCTTGTGTCGCTTGTGTCGCTGTTGGAGAGAGGCGGGGACGTAGCAGGCGCCACTTGCAACCTCTCTGCTGCTGTTTGCTGCTCCCTGCTGCCCTTGCTGGTTACTGACCGATCTCAGTCGCTGATGGGTGTGACGTGCTTGATGGCGATTGTCTTGTTACTGCTTGGCTGTGCTGCTGCTGCTGATGATGATGGTGGTGCTGATGATGATGATGGTGCTGATAATGATGATGATGGTGATGGTGATAATGATGGTGATGATGATAATGGTGGTGGTGGTGGTGTTGGCGATGTTGCGTTCCAACACAGCAAGAAGAAGAAAGACCGTAAATGTTCGCTGTTTTGCGCGGTTCGTTTGTGTCTGCTTGTCGCGTGATGTGCTTGGCCGGATGAGTGATGGGGAAGCAAAGTGGGTGTGCGTGAGTGAGCTCTATTGGTCGGTGGCGCGCTGGATGTGGATAGCGAGAACGCCAAGGCGTTGCTCGTCCTCCTCAGTGTAGAACTGTCGATACACCTGCACGCCCTCAGCGAGGGTTTCGATGCCAGGCAGGCAGCGGGACAGCCCCTCGGCTTCCAAATAGAGGGCGATGCTTGGGTAGCGCACCACGCGTGTGACAGTCACGTGGACTGGCGGCAAATCCGGCGTGGGTTCGCACCGAAAGGCAATGGTGCACCCAACGCCCAAACCCGTGTACTTGTCGGATGCAAGTCGCCCTTCCACCGTCTTCTTCCCTTGGGCAATGAACGAAAACCACGGCTCCACGACCTGCACTTCCTGCACTGCCACTGCCTCGCTTCCACGCTCACCCCGTTCCATGGCACCACCACCAACAAGAGCAGCGAACAGCGTGTGAACCCCACGAACGTATGCAGAGAGAAGTGAGAGAGAGAGAAGTGGGAGAAGTGGGAGAAGTGGGAGAGGGAAGAGGGACGGACTTCACACAAAGCAAACGCAGAAGAGTGCAGTCTTTGCAGGGCTTCATATCCACGCACACACACAAACAAGAGTGGCGGTGGATAGCACGCTGAATTGTGTGCGAATCGTAGATTTTCGCTCGCCGCGCTTGCCAACCATCAAGCAAACACACCCAGAGACACAGGCAGTGCTGTGGAGACGGAGACGGAGACGGAGACGGACTTGAGGCAGAACGATGACGAGGCGACGGCGCCCAACGTCCTCACGCCAGAAGCTGGCGGAGGCTGTCAAGCAAAATGTCCCTCCAGGCTACACCCTCGAAGAGTGGTAGGGCTTTTGTGTGTCTGTGTGTGTCTCTGTGTGTGAGTGTGTGTGCCTCTGTGTGTCTGTCTGTGTGTGTGTGCCTGTGTGTCTGTGTGCGCATGTGTGTGTCTGTGTGTGTGTGTCTGTGTGTCTGTGTCTGTGTCTGTGTCTGTGTGTCTGTGTCTGTGTGTGTGTGTGTGTGTGTGTGTGTGTGGGCATGTGTGTCTTTGTCTTTGTCTCTCTCTACCTCTCCCCCTCCCTCTGCAGCTGTGTCTCTGTCTCTGTGCGCTTGCCTGCCTCGTATGGCTGTGTGCGATGCTTCGCCTCCTCTTCCTCCAGCACCGCTTGTGCCTCACCTTCCAACAACAACCAACCACGGCATGCGTGTGCGCACAGGATGAAGAAACAGGAGCAAGATGCCATCACGGAGGCGATTCAGGAGAAGACATCTGAGATGATGAAGAACGTCATGGAGGCCATTCAGGCCATCGAGATCCGAAGACGACACAAAGCACACGTCATCAAAGAAGCACTTGACTGCGCACACGCCCTCGTCGAGGTGTGTGTTTGTGTCTGTGTGCGTCTGTGTCTGTGTCTATGTCAGGGTGTGTGTGTGTGTGTGTGTGTGTGTGTGTGTGTGTGTGTGTGTGTGCGCGCCAGAGTGTTGTGAAGGGCGCGAGCCACGAGCGTTGTCCTTGTCGCATATGAAGATCAAGGTGGGAAGTTTGTGATGGTGTGAAAGGGAATGCCATGGCAGCGCTCATCGCGGCTCTGGTCTGTGCTGCATCTGACAGCTGTCATATCTGAGACGAGACGATGGCGAGCCGCCTGAAGCACATGACACATGGGAGCCCGATACAGGTGTGTTGCCTCTTCATTCTATAGCCATCGTGTTGTTTGAGCACTCTGTGTGTGTGTGGGTGTG